TTCGAGCAACGAGGTGATCGTCGACGATGCTTCTTTCTCTCGCGAACGTGTATTGATCGTGACCAAGTGGCGAACAGATCGGATCGATGGAATCGAAACGATGCAACGCCGAGTCAAAGGTGTAATCGACGACCTGTTCTTACGGTAAATAGAAACCGTGTGATTTTTTTCCGACGGGGCACCATTAGGTAATTCCAAAAGTTCGTGCCGTCGTAAGACATTCTTTTAAACAATGAATAATAAGATCCATAGGCATTGTAATGTGTTAGTTATAGTAAAATAATAGTTCTTGCTGTGTATCGGCCCTATATGAAGACGCGCCATAAGGCGCATGGGGGGTGCGCCACCTGGCATGATTTTTTAGTAAACAGTTCGATTACTAAGTGTCATGGCGTCGAGTGATTTCAATAAACTTAATACGCAGTTATTACTTATATTATTTTTTTGGATAATAAATGTGTTTAAGACATAACAGTTCTATAAAATAGTGTATTCTTGAAGAAGTGTTTAAAAATGAAGTGGACGAGCAGCGGTAGCAATTACACAGATTCCATGAGATAAGATTGGAACATCCATATCTCGAGGCGGCTAATGGAACGCCAAAAGCAGAAAAGCAGCTGGCAACTGTAATTACGGTAATAAAAGAAGTTTGTTATTTCGTAAAGTTGTTTGACTAGGTGAGCACCGGTAGCTTTACGGCGGTAGCGCTTGATTTGTCGAATAAAAGTGTTATCAAGCCCGGTGGATAATAATTCCGGTCGAATCGAGATTCGTTCGTCGTCCGCTCTATCCTCGAATTATAATACAGTGAAATCTGCTTGAGCCGTCCGTAGAATGATATGTCGACTCATTAGCGTGAGGCTTCATACACCCGTGGCGATTAACACGAACCTGCTAATGGGAACAAATCGTCCTTGGGGCCAGTCGCTGGATGAAAGTGCCATGACCGAGTCGACGTTTACTCGTTTCTTGTGTATTCGTCTCTTTCAATTTCTAGATGGTGCACAGTTGGTCAAAAAACACGATTTAGTAGGCTAAAGTCTATTTAGAAATTCGACTAGTGAAACTATTTATACAGAATCGAACAAAGTAGATTTTCTAAGGAAAAATGGAGATATAGGAGACAAACTCGCACATACAACTCGCAATCTAGAAATCCTTGGTTACCAACATTTTTTTTTTTTTAATGATAATTTGTCCCTTTTTGAATAATTGTTACATAAAAATTATCATTAAAAAAAAAAAATTTTTTTTGGGAACCGAGGATTTGAACCGAGGACCTTCGGATTGCGAGTCTAAGACCTGCTCAAGTACATGACTCGCAATCTGAAGGTCCTCGGTTCAAATCCTCGGTTCCCAAAAAATTTTTTTTTTTTTTTTATGATAATTTTTATGTAATAGTTATTCAAAAAGAGACAAATTATCATTAAAAAAAAAAAATAATAATGTTGGGAACCAAGGATTTGAACCGTGGATCTCTAGATTGCGAGTTGTATGTGTGAGTTTGTCATACTACAGAATGTACGGAGTAACTAACTGTAATTGTTAATATCTTTTAAACAATTAGCCGTCTGCCCTCAAAAGGGGGTATAGTCGTGTTCAGCTCGACGAGCTCTACAAGCTGGCAAAGTTTCATTAATAAATGAGTGTAACACTTGGGTAGTTCCCCTTGTCAGATAGGTGAAAATGAATTTAAAAAAAAATCAAGAATCTCGATTTATCAATTTCCGTGGAATGTCCAGAGCAAACAGCGAGTCCGAAAACGGACATTTTCCACGCTGAATCCCCGAAACATTTTTCACCGTGCGTCACTCGCACAAAATTCCGAATGATACTTGTGATGGTGTAGAATAGTCGAACAGCAAGTAACACGGTCGACGTGGCTTCTGTCGAGCTTCCTCGCGAAAGCTGTCAACAACACGTAGATTGAAACCAGCGTATTTTTTTACAATCCTTCGTGTTACTTGTATTCGTTGACGTTTAGAAAAATTCTTTTGTTTATCGCTTATATTTGACTGGTTACCTTGCATAGTGTCATTCATGAGCTTTGAGTACCGGACACGTTGATCGATCTGAAAAGTTACAAATTTGATACAGTCAAATAGTAAATTGACAATTTAATTGGAGAGTCCTCGTAGCTTTTTTCTGTAGAATTCTTGTGTTAATCTTGAGTTTGGAACTGCTGGTTAGTTAAATAATCACGAAAGTGGAATCGCGTGAAAAAGAATGTAATAAAGTGGTATTGCCGATGAAAAATCAGAGACAACGTGGATGCAGGTTCGGTTTTAGCGTGAAACACGACAACATAATCGATACGTCGCCTGATGGAATGTATCGCTTCGCGCACCGAATGCAGCCACTTCAGAAGGAAGCGGCGTGCACTTCCACTTACGCTAATAAATACCTTGGTTCCAAGATATTCCGCCGTAATAATTGCACGTAATTGCACGTTATATCGAAATCTAAGTGGATAGTTCTCAGGATTCATTATCTTTAAAACGGTTGCTCGCTCGCAGCTTTGCCAGTAACCATAAAATGGTAATAAAGAGGAGCGTAACATATCTTCGATTAGTAAATGTAACAAAAACAGAAACCAGCAGAATGAAAGATTTTTGCAAAAACGTAACGATGCAGGTGCAATTTGTATCCCATCCCTTCTCATTACTCTTAGTCGTCAAATTAAGTCAATAATTTTATGTCATATTTGTGATAATTTGAATTGGGGTAGTTTTGGTCATTACCAGTTGGCCATTATCGATCGCCGGGCTATGATAAAGAATGAAAGCGGTAAGGAAAAGATCGCGTAAAAACACGTTTAGAATATGATGAAGCGTCGAGAGAATTCCTCCCTAATTTCCCTTCGGAGTGGTCCGAAGAAAAGAGCGGTGAAAGTGAGCACGAGGGGAGCAAGTTCTCCGGGTGCTACAACGTCGTGTCCGTAGGAAAAAAAGAAGACACGACATTAGGAGCTGGTAATTCCATGGCTGCCCGTGTCCCGGGCTACCATCGAAGCCCGTTATAAATGCGTTACATCGCGTTAGCCCGGGATCCATTTATGAAAAAAAGGTCGGCCGTCGCACGACCCACGATAATTACAGCGTGTCTTCGGGATTAAATATCTCGGGCGCGCGTGTAATTTGCGCATCGTTAATACGCGGCCGGATTAATTTATGGCCGCGAATTACGGAAAACGGTGTGTTCCGACGAATTAATGCGTGCCCGGTGTTCGCATTGTGCAACTGGCACGCTAGCTCGTGCCATTTACAGTTTGTAACACACCAGCGTGGACGTGATACCTACAAAAGTTGTTATCTAATGAAGGGTAGATTATAATAATTTAAACGCGTACCGTTGCGTGCAACTTAGACTCGCGTTAATTAAAAGGAAGTGTGGGGAAGGAGTGTCTCACAATGAAGGATAAGAGGTTTTATGTCAGGTTCTTCCAAGACTAAAGACAAATGGCGGGTGATTCCCCCTACACTTATTCTTAACCAAGAGAACCCTGAATGGATCCTATGCTCTTTTTATATTTTCGATATTATTGACCGTCAATATGTTGACGGGAATAAATAAGAAAAGCGACCGGTATGAATCACTGATACCAGATAACGCCTGTCGAATCGATCGATGAAACGTTCGTATCGGGGAGGGAACAAGCGAAAGAGGAACAGTGTAGAAAATATCCGGAGGTAAAGAAACAAGAAGGAGGAGAATTGAAAGGGGGGCGAATCTTTATCGAACTATTGGCGTTCCTCGAGTCGATTCGACCGCGTGTAATTTCACGCCCAAATCGCGGAAGTTATGGCAATAGGGCTCGCGATACAAGGCCATAAACGAGATCGGCCGTTCGGCCGATCGCAGCAGCGTATTTTCTTCGGGGCCCTGATCTCTCGAAAAACAAACAGTTAGAGCTAGGTGGTCCCTCATTAAGTTGGCACCACTCCCGACCACTCGGCTCGTTCCCTTTCGATTCGAGTCGATCTTGGGTACCCCGTAGGGAAGGTCTCCGAAAGGGCCGTTCGCTCCCTCGGCTCCATTATACCGGTATACCGTGTACGGATCACCGTCCCCGCCTATGTATGGGTGCTTCTGTATACACGCGTGTGCAGACACGCATCGGTGTTTCCCCTCGGCTTTCGTAGTGTCGCGCGCGTATGACGTCGAGTGAGACGTTACCTACGCGAAATGAATGCATTCGATACGTGTCACAATTGCTATGCCGGGTAACGCCTGTTGGAGTGACGGCAATATTGCCACGTGGACGTTAGACTAGTACGCACGTGTCCGTATGGTGTGTACATCGTCGAGCATGGTAGCATTCTTTAAGAGAAAAAGGGAAACGAGATTCCTTTCTGTCGTATCTTTGTAGGAAAATTTTAATACCACAGACAATGGTGAACTAGTTTCTTTGAGAGATTGCGTCCGCGTTAGGGTAAGGAAAACGGCCTATAATTGGATTACTTATAGAGAATGGATTACAGAAATCCCTCGAATGCAAAAGCTCGCGATAATCTAGTAGGTACGTTTCCGTATCATGGACAGCAATGACTGTATGGGCTGCGAGTTTCTTGGCAAATACGCGTTATCGAGGCCTCGTCCTCTTCTCGGGCGCGAAAATGTGCTGGGAAATAAGTAGCGACCGGTATTTTTCTTTCTTCCACCTGTTGTGCGATGCTCGTCACCGGGGTAGAGGGAAACATTGTACGTGTCTGCGAGCATCGTCAAGGAATTATCTTGCCACGGTGTACGCAGGTAATGCGAGGCGGTTAACGCAAATGGGACGGTATACCACCGTTCGAGGCTGGCATTATAATGAAATAAATAGTACGATTAAGAGGGACGCGTTTAAATTAACCGTCTCTATTACTGGTGTAGCGAACGAGTCTCGAGATTTGATCTCGCGTATGAAGGTACACGTGGCTCTCTACCCGTGCCGTATAAATAGTCGCGTTCTCGCGGTCGATGCACACCGTTAATGACCTGCTCGTTTTCTGTTGCAGATACCTGTCAACGAGTTGGGACCGGACGGACAGAGCTTGGAAAAATTGCGTGAGTACACTTGCGTGTATATACTATCGCGTGATATCGATATCGAACGCCGTTAGATCGGATATCGTGCATTCTTCCAACGTTTCTCGCCGTGTCACCGTACGGCCCGTTCGGTAGATGAGTTGTTTTATAAACTCGCTTGTGAAACGCGTAACGACCAATTTGATGGTGCGCTCACCGGCACGAAGAAAATTCTTTCCCACGAACAGGTGCAGCTACGGCTGTTCGGGACGATGACGAAAACGCGCTACAAATGAAGTTATTCTGTTACTGGTTTTAATCGTGTTCGGTCCTTGGGACGAATGGTAACTTTTCGTGGAAACAATTTTAGCGATTTGATTAAAGCGTTGCGTAAGGTAGAGCGAATTGAATCGTTCAGTGAAGACCACTTTCGTGTATTAGGTCATCTCATCGTAAATAATATCGTGAGTCATCCTGACTAAAGTATCACCCATTGCGAATTCTCTAACATAATAGTCATTAGTAGTATTTTCGGAGAATATAATTCTTTATCAAAATCACGCGTTAATGCCCGCTCGTTTACATTACATAAATAGATTATCCGGATAAGGGTTAAGTCTTGAGCAAAGTCTTAGTACCCTCTTTACACTTAAGACGTCCCTGGATTATAGCCCCAATGTCCCATAAGGTTAAGACGACCCTGAACACGCAACCCTTATTTTACATTGCTAAACGTTCAAATAGTGCCATATCGTGAAAAAATAGAAATTGAAAAACATCTCGAACGCTAAAAACTACTATCTACATATTTGATAAAAATATTCTCGTGGAACATTCAACGTTTACTTAGTAGCGAGTGTAACTACGGTTTCAAAGTTATCTTCCAAGTTTGAAGAATGAACGCGTATGTGAGTTTGAACCTTTCAAGCCAGATGTTCGATTCAGCCCGTCAATGGCGAGCCTACCGTCGGGGGACACGTAAAAGACCCACGGTTCCGTGTTCCACGTGTGTTTACGTGTCTGCCCGCGAATCTCGGAAACCGTGCAACTTCGCGTGCCATTCCACTCGTCCCTATCGAGTCGCAGAACGTCAAATAAGGCAGATTCGAAGTTGAACGGGGCTGGTGGACAACATTCGTCGTCATAATTCGCGGAATCAGCCGCGGGTACCGTGCAAGTTTCGCTTGTCGCGAGTAGTACACGCGCGATAAACGTGTTCGCGGGACTGGCTTCAATAAAATGGTACACGCAGCGGGTCGTGCAGCGACAACCTCGTAAAATCCTGGTGGACACGCGTGTAATGAACTCACCTGGTGCTTCGGTCGCGCGACACGCTCGCCGAGAGGACGGGCCGATCTGGATTACTTCCTCTAGACTTGATCCTTTCGAGCGTCTCGCTTTTCGTCCCTCCGAATGAACCGTGAAATAGCCAGACGAGGGTTCACGGAGGTTAAGGAGAATACGAACACTCGCTCCCCCTCCTCGTGTTGCATCCCCTTTAGGCAGCTGCGTTGATGTTAGGGCACCGATTCTGACGCGTTGACGATTGTCGCAGAATCATCGAGTGAAAAGTATATGTCAGTGTTGGCATTCTGACAGATGACATCGTGTTTCATTTATAATCATTTGTCGCGGATACTTAGCGAAGCGTAGATCAACGAAAAAAACTTTTATTTTGATCACGCGAGGGTGGAATATTACGATCCGATCGCAATTTGTCCTCGGATCAGGCGCAAAAACGTGCCAAGGAGTAGGGCATTATTGGTATTCTCGGCTGAGCTGTTCGCAATCGTTCGCGTGGATCATGTTTTACGTACGATTTACGTAAGCCCGAACATGATGGCATTTGCGTTACACAATTGTCTGTAAGGCATCCTGGAAAGGATTTTAGCTTTCTAACGCCCCTGTTCGGAGTAACTCTGTTTGTTATTCGATGATCAATATTCAGAGGAAAATAATGGGGTTGGAAAATTCATCGCGTACAGGATAATAGGATTTGTTTCTTTTTTACCCGCGTACAGGATTTTCTAATTACTACAAACAGTGCATCTGTTCCATCGATCCTATTCGCACAATGCAAAGAGGCTCTTCACGCGAATTTCGGCTTTCGACATCGCGTTTTGGTGTAACAACACTTTCGACGACGCAATTGAAGCGTTATCGGCGTACCGAAACGGTGTCGCAAATTCTGCAACATTCCTGGCCGCGCATAACGGGGTTGGATTAAAGCGTCATCACCGGCCCGGCGTCAGGGCTACAATTGTGATCCTGTAAACGACCCTTCGGAGAATAAACTCCCTTCCAGTATTTATGGACTTTTGGGATTAGCGGGGAAAAGGTGGAGAAGGGAGCCGTGAGTCTGTTTGGCGAGTCGAAAGTATACCTCGAGAGACGTGACACTGGTTGAGGAACAGGGTTGTTTGGAAGGTGGAGGTGGAGGTATGGAGGGGTCGTACATCCTGAAGGAAGATCGCGATCTCAGGTTGTTTATGCGATACCTCGAGATAGGGGTGCTCTTTTGTCCAGGGGCGGTTTTCACCGTTCGCAAGAGATACGGATGAATAAATTTCGGGGACGCGACATATTTCACGAACCGGGCGTGTATACACGCTCGGTTACGTGGCCCGGCGTGGTTTCGCGAGCACTTTACAAGCACCGCCTTCCTTTCGGACGGTTTAACAGACTTAGCCCCGGATCAGTGCGCGGTGATAAGTGACAAAGAGAACCGGAGGATTTTTGGTAATCGCGAAACGTTGTATCGTTTAACAGCACTGTCCTCCCGTTGTCCCGGGGAAATTCGATCGAATTCGCGTGTCCAGCTGAGCTTCAAGCAGAAAAGTATAATCCTTTGTTTGCATCAAGGGATTTGTAGTAAAATACAACGATAATTTCGTTCGTCATTTACATCGCCAACAACAATCCACCCGATGAACTAACAAACAGACAAATAAATCCCTCGCTGATGTCTCTTTAACCAAATTGAATTTATTTCGAGAAAACGCGTTCGAATCGATCGTAACGCAAACTACCCCTATCGTATCGTTTTCATCGGAACTTCGACAAAGCTTTCCTCTGGTTAAAGCAGAGCAACCCGATCGCGGGCAAAAAGCTCAGCTGAAACACGCGACGCGTCAAACGCGTGGTCCTCCGTCTTTTTCAAGTCATTAGAACGAACACCCTTGGATCTTACCACCAAACGGTTCACCTTTCTCGCGGTCGCGCGCACGTGTACGTACACCTATAGGGAGCGGAGCACACACGGAGAAATGCCATCGAGTGAGAGGCAGAACGAACGAGAGAAGATACCAAGAGAGCGCATCTCCTCCGGTCGCCGAGTGCCTCCACCTTGAGAGTTCAGCGGCGAGGCCGAGGAGAGAGAGAGAGAGAGAGCGAGAGAGAGTCTGAGAAACGGCAAAGGGATGGGCGAGGGTAGAGGAGCTGAACGGGTGAAGCAGCGGCATGATGGTGAGGAGGGTTGGGACGGAGGGAAATACGTTCTGTCGGGTTTGCGAGAAGGAACCAGAGGGGTGAGCGGTGGCTAGAAGCGAGGTGACGGGGTAGATGACTAGGCGCGAGAGGGGAATCACTCGTCCGTTCGTGGTGGTGGGGATGCGCGCGTTGCTCGATGGTGGGGGTCGACGCTCTCTCGTCCCCTTAGCTCAGTTAGTTTCTCCGTCGACGCCGCTGTAAGCGGATCGGAGCGTGTCGTTGTTCTTCCTCGTGGACGATCTCGCGACGACCTGTGTGGATCTCTGTTCTTTACGGGATCCGGTGTGACTCTTCTTCTCTCGTACGATCGCGATTTATCGTTATCGATTGATCGTCATGGAGGCTCGTGGCATACGTGATACGCGATTTCGATAGTGCGACGATCAGGGAAGAATTTTCGGAGCGGACCGGAACCATATTATAATATACAACTTGGTGAAACGTATATCTACATAGTGTACGGATAAAAAAGTTCTCTCGTGAGAAATTTTTACGTTATTATCGTGTGTACTGGGTGAAGAAAAGAAATTAGTGTTAGATCCTCGTTACTTGTTTCGCGTGAGTTTTGGAGTGAGAACTAGCACTGGGTGTGAACGACCAGTGAGGGATACAATTTGTCGACGACTCGAAGGACCGCGAGTCGATCGTTCTTTTTTTTCCAAATTTTGAAAAATCGCTCCTTTAGAATCGGAGCCTGTGAAAGACGAACGCGGTGCCGTCGGACGCCGCGTCGAGCAGCGATCCTGCGGAAGTACGGATCGATTTGCCGCAACGAAGGATCCTTTCCTCCTGCTCTCTATCGTCCTGGTCGTGACGGTTTAGCCTGCTCCAATTGGGATAGCTAGGGAACCGGAGTGTTTCACATGTGTCAGTGACAGTTCTGTGCTGAGATTTCGTGCGATGTATCCAGACCACGCCGTCTTCGTCTTCCATCTTGTAAGTACAGTTTGGCACCCTATTCGTGTGATTTTTATCTCATCACCGAGAAACATGGTCATTATCAAAGAAACGTGTACGAAAAGATAGAAACGGGTTAATGATAGCGTGCACCATAGTGCTGTCGTGAAAGCAAAGGTCACGGGAAGCGACGGCAGCAGTGACTTTGACACATCCCGCGGGAAGAGGTCGCGCATTAGGTCTCGTTTTACGAGCCGATGCTCAAAGCTCTGCACTCGTCGAGCTTTAGCCCTGTGTAGCAGCTTCAAACGCGTTGTGTGTACACGTGACCCGAGAATCTATCCGCGCATAGTTGGCCCTGGTGCGCGTATTTCCGACCAACTTCCGCTTGGCTAAGCTTGACCTCCGCAAGGATACTCTGTACGAGTGCTCAGCGTTTCAAAGATTCACAGAGAAAGGTACACGCTCGTTACCTGCCGGTTTAAATTCTACCTAGAAAGCAACCACCATCTAGGAATAGAAATTAAAGGGAAAGGGAAATTACGGTCCGGTCAAATCCCGACTACCATTTTCGATGCTGCCGTTTTTCGTTTAACGTGCTTACCAGCGGCACCTTAGTCCGCGTATATCGCAGCTGCTTGATTTTACCGAGG